TGCTATTTTAAATCACAGAGTTTTAGGGTGGTTTATTATGCCACGATAGGTAAGCGGAACAAAATCTTACCTTTTCAGGGGCACTTAGGTGGCTCAGGTCATGATACCAGGGTCCTGGGATCAAACCCCGTGTCTGTTCCCTGCTCAGTGGGGAGTCTGTTTCTCCCTCTCCTGCTGCCCTTCCCCCTCCTCATGCTTTATCTCTCTCAGATAAATAAAATCTTAAAAAAAAAAAAATCTTACCTTTTCATAGAATTTTTTCACCCTGAGTCTCAAGCAGATATTGTTGGGAAAATATCCCTCTGTAATAAAACAATACTGGCATGCCAATAAATAATGGAAAAGTTTTACTGGACAAACAATATAACCTCCTTCAAATGCATGGTATCAGCACCATTGCTAAATTACCTTTTGGAAACTGCTAACTTATGAATACAAACTTCAGCTACCCCTTTCCTCATATATGTGGCAAAGTCTCATGTCCTCCACCTGAGTATCATAGGTTCACTACCCCCCTGCTGATCACAAGACAATTCTTAGGGTGTGGGGAGAGTGTCTTCAATTATATTTGTGTATGACAAAAAGTCTACTGTTTTGATGTATGAAGGAACCAGAGTATGGTGGTCCCCAGACTCTGGTCAGGAATCTCTGTCTCTTCCCTCCTTCCTGCAATACAGTCCTTACAATTGAAATCGTCTTATTTTAAATTCTGAAACTGTGGCTTTGTTTTCTTCAAGAATACACCATTTCTTATAGTCTTCCTAGATGAGCAGAAAGTTTCTCTAGATCACCTTTCTCTGTGACTGTAGTCTTTCAAAGGTTTTGGTTTTATGCAGGAATATGCAACTCTCCATATCCCCAAAGCACATATCCCCAAAGGGTTCATTTCCTGTCCCCAAATGGACATTAATATTCAAGCCCCTATTCAAGAGGGTCTATTTCTGGTCTATTTCCCTCAAAGGTCATCACAACACTAGCTTATAATATGCTTACTGCTATGACTTTGAGATATATTTTCCTTTCTGGAATCTTGAGATGTCCCCCTTTTCTTGTGAGCTGAGCTACATATTTAAACTGTGTTGTTGGTTGTTATATACTACTTGGTCTGTTGGGTACTTGTAGCAATAGGGGTTACATATTATCTTATTCTACCATGTTACTAGAACAGCAAGTTCCTCAGCCAAGCAGGTACAAGGAAAACATTCTATGTAGAGGAAATAGCATCTGCAAAGACTCAGAGTTGAACAACAACTCGGTATATCCTGGAACTCTTAGAAATCTGCTGTTGTTACAGGGTAAAGGTGATACAAGGTGATGAGTGGCAAGAAATAAGATGGAAAAGAAGACAGTTGCTAGATTATAAGCACTTTGTAATACAAGCTAAGGAGCTTGAATCTTTCCTATAGGAAATGGGGAGCTACCAAAGAGTATTAAGCTATCATTCAGCAAATTATACGGATAATGGATTGGGTTGGGGAAGTGGTGGGGAGGTCTGCCAATAGAAAGATCATATGGGTATCTTCTGGACAAACAAACAAAGACCAAAGATGAAGATCTGAACTATGGAAATAATAGCAATGACTGAGAAGCACGTAGAGATTAGAAATGTAAAAAGTTACAATGAATAGGAATTGGAGAATCAGGAAGAAAAAAAAAATCTAGGCTATCTTCCAGATTTGTAGTCTGAACAACCAAATGGATAATGAGATCAATGGGAATGTAGGAGAAATGGGTTTCATACAGAGAATTCAATTTCAGACACATGGTTACTATCCTGATATAGATGACAGGTGTGCAGTTAGATATCCTTGCTAAAGGGGAATTGTGGAAAATGGAAGGACCCTAATTCCACTGTGGATTCCATTTTTTTCTAGGAAACTGCATGCCCAACACTATCCAGTTCACATTAATAGCATCAGGAGTCCAAGTGTGGTGGCTAGTATGAGCTAATCCTAACAAACCAGGAGAATGAATTTAGGCCATACTAGCATAGCAATCCAGGAGAATGAACTTAAGCCTCTGAATACAGGTATCCAAACCACAGCTATGGCAACTGTATGTCTCAGGTCTTTGAAGACATTCCATTTTTTGTTAGCAAGACATCTTTACTGAAGCTGTATCATTCCAACACATGGACGAAGAAAGGCATTTAAACCTCATTTTTCCGGAGAACAAAAGGAGCACCAAATGCCCAAGAAGAAAAAAAACTGTTCAGGTCAGAAATAAAATAGACCAGTTGAATGGCCCTGTGTCCTTGTCAGATGATGATCCAGGGTGTCACTTTTTATTTTTAAAGCCTGTCCTTTCCTTCCCCAATAAGACTAAGAAAGAAAAAAGAAATTTATAAAGTCCCCCAGGGAAGACAGGTATTAAAAATTTTTCAAGTGCCTTAGAGTAAAACTCCTCTTTCGTTGAATAATTTTTTTTCAGTTTTTTATTTTGACATAATTCTAGGCTTCCAGAAAAGTTGCAGAACTAGTACAAAGAATCTCTATATACTCCTCATCCCGATTCCTCAAATGTTAACAGCTTACCAATTTGCTCTATTATTTTCTCTCTATAAAATACTCATTTTTTCCTAAACCGATTGAGAGCAAGTTGCTGACATGATACCCTTTTACCCCTAAATACTTCACTGTGTATTTCCTAAAAACAAGGACATTCTCTTACATAACTACAGTATAAAAATAAATATCAGGAAATTAAGTGATACATTATCATCTAATCAACAGACCTCATTTGGCTTCGCCAATTGTCCCAATAATGTGTCAACAGCAAAAGAAAATTCCAAATCACACACCATGTTCAGTTGTCACATCTCTTTAGTCTCCTTTATTGTGGAACAATTCTTTAGTCTTATTTAATTGAAGTACAGTTGACACACAATGTTATATTAGTTTCCTGTGTACAACATAGTGATTCCACTTCTCTATGCACCACAAGTGTAGCTACCATGTTACCATCCAACACTATAACAATACTACTGACTACATTCCCCATGCTGCACTTCTATCCCCATGACTTATTCATTCCATAACTGAAAGCCTGTACCCCTACTACCCTTCACCCATTTTGTCCATATCCGCCCCACCCCCAGGCAACTATTAGTTTATTTTCTGTATTTACGGGTCTACTTCTATTTTTTGTTTATTCGTTTTTTTAGATTCCACATGAGTGAAATCATAAGGTATTTGTCTTTCTCTGACTGACTTCTTTCACTCTGCATAATACCCTCAAGGTCTGTCCATGTTGTCGCAAATGGCAAGATCCCATTCTTTTTTATGGCTGAATAATATTCCATGTTGTGTGTACATATATACCACACCTTCTTTATTCATCTATCAATGGACACGGGTTGCTTCCATATCTTGGCTATTGGAAATAATGCTACAATGAACATAGGGGTGCATATATCCTTTCAAATTAGTGTTTTCACTTTCTCTGGGTAAATAGTAGTGGAATTACTAGATCATATGGTATTTCTATTTTTACTTTTTTGAGGAACTTTCATACTGTTTTCCACAGTGACTACACCAATTTACATTTCAGCTAACAGGGTGTGAGGGTATCTTTTTCTCCACATCCTCACCAATGCTCATTATTTCTTGTCTTTATTTTAGCCATCCTCATAGGTGTAAGGTGATATCTCATTGTGGTTTTGATTTGCATTCCCGATGATTAGTGATGTTGTGCATCTTTTCACATGTCTCTTGGCCACTGTATGTCTCCTTAGGAAAATATCAATTCAGGTCCTCTGCCCATTTTTTAAGTCAGTTTTTTTTTTTTTTTTTGGTGTTAAGTTGTATTAGTTCTTTATATATTTTGGATATTAATCCCTTATTGGTTATATCATTTCCAAATATCTTTTCCCATTCAGTAGGTTGCCTTTTCATCTTGTTGCTGGTTTCCTTCACTGTGCAAAAGATTTTGTTATTTTGGTGTAGTCTCAACAGTTTATTTTGGCTTTTGTTTCTCTTGCCTGAGGAGACATAGCTAGAAAAATGTTGCTAGGGCTGAAGTCAAAGAAATTACTGCCTATGTTTTCTTCTAGGAGTTTTATGGTTTCAGGTCTTGCATTTAGGTCCTTAATTCATGTTTATTTTTGTGTATGTTGTAAGAAAGTGGTCCAGTTTTCCCAACATTGCTGATGACTCTTTTTCTCATTGCACATTCTTGCCTCTTTTGTCAAGATTAATTGGTCATATAATTGTGGGTTTATTTCTGGGCTTTCTATTCTGTTCCATTGATCTACGTGTCTATTTTTGTGCCGGTACCATACTGTTTTTATGACCACAGCTTTGTAGTATGCCTTGAAATCTGGAATTGTACACCTCCAGCCTTGTTTTTGTTTTCCAAGATTGCTTTGGCTATTTGGGGTCTTTTGTGGTTCCATACAAATTTTAGGATTATTTGTTCTAGTTCTGTGAAATATGCTATTGGTATTTTGACAGGAATTGCATTAAATCTGTAGAGTGCTTTGGGTAGTATGGACATTTTAATATGTGTTCTTCCAAACCATGAACATGCAATATCTTTCCATTTGTTTGTGTCATCTTCAATTTCTTTCATTGGTGTTTTATACTTTGGGTTTTTAAATTTACAAAATAATTTCTGGGTTCATTGCATTTAGGTTAGAGCATATAGCCTGTAATATTTCCCTATTTTAACACTTATCTGATGTTTACTCTTGTGACCTAAATATGATCAAGTTTTGTGAATATTTCATGTGTGCTTGAGAAAAAGATTTATTTTCCATTACTGGAGCTTAAAGTTTGATATATATATACATACTTACCTACGCATGTTGTTTATTTGGTTATGTTGTTTAGGCCTTCCCTATATTTACTTCTGACTTATATTGGAAGTGGTTTGCTCAACTCTCCCATTATAAAGAGCATGCTTATGTCTCCTAGTATGCCCTGTATTTTTTGCTTTACAAATGTGGTTACTATGTTACTTGTTGTATAGATCCTTGTAACTGTTGTGTCTTCATTTTTTTTTTTTATGCAAAAATTCAGGTTTTATTTTTACTTATTCTTACAATTGTGGGAGCTGGTATCAGGAACTTATAGGCAAAAATAACTTTTGTTTTCTACATCTTAGCTGAACAAAAATACACACAATGTGGCATTATCATTAGGCAAGACTTGCTTTTTTACATTTCACACAAGAATACCATATTATCCTTTTTTGAACAAAATGCCCAGATTACTAAGGAAACGATCTTTGGAGGAAGTGTTTAATAAGCATATTTTATTTAAATAAATCCTCCAGGAGGAAATGGGAGAATTCACTGCCTTTACTTAGAAGGTGGCTATGTAAGCAGTTATCTGTCAAATTTATCTGAGCAGCTCACCAACATTTCCTCATTGGAAACATCAATATTTCCACATCGCAGTTCCCAAAATGACTTTAAAGTCTTAAAATTCTGTGTCTCCTTTGGCTTGCTTCTCTCTTGATTCCACCCAGCCTTTATTAATGGTTCGCTTCATGTCATCATCTCCGTCTTCGTAAATTTTCTTTAGAACATTCATCAGTCCCTCACTAGGATCTGTTTCAGTGTCATAGGAGCGCTTTTCTTTCTCTTTGCATTCTTTTTCAACCTGCGTCAGGTAGTCCCAACGTGTGTTTTCTGCTTTCTTTCTACTTAAGATAAGAACTGTATCTGTCTTGACTTTTTTTGAACTGCCTTCCACAGAGATGGGTTTTAAGAGATTGTTCACAATCATGGAGTAACTCTTCCCATTTAGATTCTTTACCAAAAGATCAAATGACCTCTCTGTGAAATGCACCTGCACGTTCTC